GAAGAGGAAATGCAGCGGCGAAAAGCCTACCGGATATGATTGCGGTAACTCGACTGCTGGTAAGGTGGCGAAAACTGGTCAAGTGGTGTTTCCGGTTCCAACTGGTAATCAGCAGCTTAACTAAGGCACTTTAAGCCCTACACAGACTGCACCAATCTACTCGCATTTTCTGTCGTCCTTCCTTCGTTCAATTATAACTTGGCTGACTTCGGTCTGGTAGTTGGTTATTTGTTTGTGACTTTTCTCCCCCATACAGAGCTTTTTTTGCTTCGGAAAGCCAATTGATCGGTTTGCGCCTTTTCCTGATTAAATAAATAACCGACCTGCAGCGATGAGAAATAACAGGTGGCGAGGTACTGCTGGACTTAGGTGGTCACGAGGCTTGTTAACAGAACTACCCGTGTTGTGCGAACAAGGGCAGGATTGGGAAATAAAACGATTAAGTTGGCTGTAATTAAATTAAAGGCAGACTTTTCAACTAACAATAAAATGGCTACATGCATAATACAGGAGATGGTAAAAGCGGACTTACTTGAGGATAAGCTCGAAGGTGACATCTTCGCAGAAAAAGTCCAAGAGCGTATTAATCAAAGAAAGTGTGGCTACACCGGTCTAAAAAGGACATAAAAGCAATAGGGAAGGAAGGGCGGAAATATGCTGATGTAAAACAGGTAAAAGGCCGTTTTTTTAATGACAATTACTTGCGATATACAAATAATTTCTCGCTAACACCGTCCCCCTCCTTTTCTAATTCCACCTAGGCTACGACGACCAGCATTAGGCGACTGTTATCGATGTCTGCAATTTGTTCCACAGCATGGTGGGCACAGGAACGGTGACTTCCACCATATCTACTACAATGTTTCCTCTCCAAACTGAGCCCAGTGTCATAGCCGAATCTAGAAGACCAGAGGCAGGATCGGGCGCAGATGACTGATGCGGTGCGAGTCTGCACCTAGAAGTGCCACCACGCCGAAGCCGTGACTTCCACCACATCTACCACAATCGCTTCTCTGAGCCGAGCCGAGCGTCATAAGAGAGGCAAGAGTACCAGAGGCAGTATCGGGCGCAGATGACTGACGCGGTGCGAGCCTGCACCTAAACGTGACACCAAACCCCTAGATGCAGCACTTGCTACGGGTTCTCATCCTCAAAAGCGTCTGGCGCGCCGTGTGAGTCAAGCGCATCTACAGTGTCCCAGAAACCGACTGAATTGCGTTTGAGATCGTCTCTCCTAGCGCTTTTGCTCAATAAACCAACCACAAAGCAGTGGCGAAAAGCAAAGTTATTTAATGGTTGTTGAAAGTCGCCGTATAACACTACCGTCATCGGGCTTTGTGGCGCCCTCTAAGACAGTCGTCATACCAGGTTTCACTTCCCCAGAAAGGCTGATAATGTTATCGCTGCTGGTCCGCAACTTTGCACTCGCCAGACTTGAGAGCCGACTTATTTCGCTGAAGGTCATTTCACTGTCCGCCATCCGTGGACACTCTGGACAGCCAGCAGCTAGGCTAACGTTCGAGGTCGTCTCCTTGGTCCTTGCGACAAGCATTCATAAGCGTTCATCCACACAGACAGTCTCGTCCGTGAGAGGACACTGCGTTTGGCATAGTTCTGGCAGAACTGGGAGACTGCAATGGTCAGTTTTGTCTTGCTCGCAGTCGCCGGCTGACCGTGGCCTAACGCATAGTACAGTAGACCTGGCTTGGATTGCGGATGAATGGTGACAGCAAATAGAGGAGTGACAGATTTGCATAATCCTGCGGTTGAAATGGGTCAGAATGAGAACAAGTAAGACTTAAGTGATCATCCAAGACCCTCTGCTGTTTGTCCGACAGTGCTTTTCCGGATGAAGTCCGAGCGAAGCTAACTTCCTAAAACGCATCAGTATGCAATGATGTCATCACAATGACCGCCTTAGAAGTTCAGCGACAAAGGCCCCAGTAACTACTGCAAACACCATCCATCCAAAGCTGGCGATTAGGATTAGATTACGCGCAGGGGGTGGTAAGTCTTTCATGACATTGAAATTACATGGCAACACGGAGCAAGTCGCATATATACAAGTAATTGAACCACACAGTACCCTGATAATTAAGAGATGCTAATTAGACACTCACACTCAATTGCATTAAGCCTAACCTCACACCTCAAAAGTAGTCTAACTGTTACGTTAGTTTTGACTTTTCTATACTGGTGTTATTTTTTTCACAGTGATGAAAAATTTATGTGCAGCTGAATTAACAGCCAGCAAGTATGTTGATACTACAGGATCCAAATTCATTTAAAACCCTGGTTTCACCCCACGCTAACGTCTATGCACCATTATAAATTGCTAGCTCTCGGCTCATTGACAACTCTTTTCACAAGTAAAAGCCTTCTGAGCCAGTGGCGCTCATGAACCCTATCTTTGAAAGTGCTCGGCTGCAAACATTTAGAGTTCGAG